CCGGTGGAGGCAGGAGGTGGGGGAGGACAGTCTGTGAGATGGGGACTGTGACATACCAGACCTTCTGCATAAGTCAAGCCCAGAACAAATAAGGCTTTATCAGGCCCCGGTGATGAGGGCTCTCATCTCCCTTTGAAGTGGAGCTGAGCATGGGGCCTAGCAGCTTTTCCTCCTTTGGACCAAGAAAACATCCTTCTTTTGATATGCTACATGCTCATTATCTCTGCCCCATTTAATGATTTTTGATTGAAGGGTGGCGGCTGGGATGCCGAGAGGATGGTTGAGAGAGGCTCCATCCCGCCAAGCCCCTAAGAAAGGCTTTCCTTGTGCCCAGGCCTAAATTCGGAATTTCTTAACAGTGTGCTGCTTGTTCTTAGAGGCAGATAAGGGCTGAGCGTGAAATTCTTAATTAAGCAATAAATAGAGAGTGGGGTGTCAGCAGATGTAGCCAGTAGCTATGGCAACGGGAATCACATGGGCAAGAGAGCTGAAACTCCATGTAGGCCTCGGGCCTGGGCCTGACTGACAGCTGAAGAATCCTACAAAGCTTGTAAACCAGATTAATTAGCTGACTAATTATTTCATAGCGTTAATGTAACTAAAAAATAAAAATAGTTCACCATGAACTGAAACATCCCTGGAAAAAAAAAAAAAAAAAACCAGCCAGCCGGGAAAGAAGCAGTGAGAAGTGGCTTGTCAAGGCTGAGACGGGAGCAGCCAGTGAATTGAATCACACGGACGGAAAAATGGGCTCGCTAGAATTTTCTCCCAACTTTGCAAATATCAAAGAACACTTGTTCTATGCTCATCATACTCGTTCCCAAGCATGGCGTAAAAGTCACAGTTGGGAACGGCCATTTGAAACAGTTTATTACATCAAATACTGTACTTCTTGAGTCCTACCTAGCACAAACGATGGCATACAAGTATTTTGCCTATGGTCTGTTTTGTAAGCAGCTCCTTGGGCAAAATTCTTGTTGGCTTTGGAAAGGCAATCCGAACCAATCTCCTTAAAAAATATTTTCAAATGGGTGGTATTATCTGTGAGAATAATTGCTTTAGTGGTACTGGATTTCAGTCCTGGGAACAATCTCTCATATGTGGTATATAATTGCAGACTTCACTTATCTCAGAAAATCTCAGAAAAGGAGATAAAAGGAGACTCTTGCAGAAAGGTTGTGACATGTACAGTGAGTTCAAGACAGGTGATATCATTAAACTTTCTGTACAGAAAGAAAAATTCTAGAGAAATAGTCTGCTTTTTTTTAAATGAAGTAACACGGCATACTAATCATACTTTAATATGTTTGGGGGTTTTGTACCACAATTCCAAGAGAGGAGGAAATATTCTTAACCGGCTTGGATGAATGAAGCTACTAAGTCATGGAGCAATTATAATGCCATGTCCCAGGTAAAACAGCCTACCAGCCACTGATGAAAACCCTACGCCCCAAGGGAAAGCCCCAAGAGTTTTCCCCAAAACATTCAACTCCATAAAGGCATTTACAGAACTAAGACAGAACTTGCCTTGGTGGAAAAGCAACATACAAAGGTCAGGACTTATTATATGTGCAGGATTTTTTCTTTGTCACTGGGGATCAGTGAGAAGTTTTCTCCTGCAACTCTGCCTAACACCCCCCCCATTCCTTTTTGGTCAGTGATCTATGATTATTTAGTGGGCAGCACACTCTAGTGGAGGGAACCACAGCCAGGAGCTAGAATGCCTGGGTTCTGGTCTTTTCCGTCTTTAGCCGGGCCTACGATGAGTCATGTATCTTAAAATCACACATGAAGCAGTCAAATAGAGGAAATGAAGATAATTGTGATTTTTTTTAAAAACTTCCTATCCTGGGGGATGTGGTAAGGCTGCAAACAAACAAGACAAAAGATGGTCCACTTAGAAGTGGTCAAGCGATGAATAAAAGGCAGCCAATTGTCAGTGAAGCAATGCTCTGAATGAAATGCCAGCCAAGAAAAGCAGCAGCACCCCCCAAAACCTGACATGGAATTCTGTGGGCCTGAAAAGAGGTCCAGGAGCTTCCCTGCAAGAAAAGGAAACTTCTGTATATACAACTCTTCCCATGTTTTTTTCTTCGCAGGAGTATGCCAACGCAGACTGTGAGGTCTTATATTTTATGTAAATTATCCCAGCTGTGCTCCTATGAAGTCAAGGAGTCAAAAAAAAAAAAAAATCAGGTGAAATTAACAACTGATCAATATGTAAAGTTCATGGAACAGAACATGAACTCTACTGCCTCAGTGGGGCGCCAGCTACAACCACTCACTGCTATCATGGCACTGGGAAACGCGGGCAGGCCTACAGAAAATAAGCCTAATCACCAGCTTCCTCCAGATCTTGTAGACTTTAAACAGGGAATAGCCAAAATTATCACTAAATCTACACAGCCCAGTGCAGCTGAGTGAATCACCACCCACAGAGCAGCATTAGAGCCTCCTACCTCCAGAGCCCTCATCTCCTCCAGGAGTGGAACAGAAGTGGTTCCAGCACCATATGCTCAGAGGGTAAGGGAGGCACCAACATCCATAAAAGCTACTGTTGGGAATCCTCTTCAAGGAGGAAGGATCTACAAGTTCATTAAACATTCAACAAACCCTCTGTGATTGCCTGTTTTTTTTTTTTCCCAACTCTTATGTGTATTTGAAGGTAGAAATAGAGGATAGCCTGATACAAAGAATTTTTAAAAATCAATAAAGGCTATGTATCTCCTAGAAATGTTTTATAATGAAGTTCATCTACATCATATACATGCACATATGCACACACAGATCTCCATTTACATACACACACCTACCTACATAGATGTGCATTTATATTATATAGGTATATCTAGTACAATCCTGTAACTTGCTATTTATTTAATTACTAGTGCTACCAAAGAGGAAGAAAGTCTACAGCTCTGTGACTTGATTTTTATTTCTTCGTGCGGTAAGTTTTTGTACTACATTTGGCTTATGTGAGTATTAAATGTACCCTTATATTAATCCAATATTTTTAAAAAATGATCTTGCAGTTTATGAACAAAAATCTGATGACTGGACAACATAGGCTCTTCAGAAACATACCAAGTAATAGTAAGAGAACAATTCGAACTAAAATTTGTTCCAGAATATATACCAAGTAAGTAGCTATAAAGTGCACGGCAACTGTTCCTGTTCTTACTTACGGCTATGTTCAGCCTTAGTGGTAAAGCAATCTCAGGGATCTCTGTCTATCCTAGGTTTTTACACATTTAGGTTACATTCATAGATGGATCAAATAAGAAAATCTGAACGGTATCAGTAGAAATAAAATATACAACAATCCATTTGGTAAAGGCGTAAACAATACCAGGAAGCACCAGACTCTCCACTCCGATGCTATTAACATGTATCAGTTCCAGGGGGCACCTGCAGATCAGACTGAGCTGACATAGCTAGGCACACATGACAGAGTGACAGGGACTCAGGACCAGGTCCTGGGGGCCATGTCTGGCTTGTGGCAGGGCTGGGACTTGATATGCTGGTCAAGTCCCCTGAATTTGAACAAGATCTATTAAGACTAATTTGTAACAAAAATGTTCATTCTAAATACCTACTTGATCAAATTATCTTTCTTACACACATCTGTAAAGAAGTGCCCTGACAGGGAGCTGAGCATTGGTACAGGCGGACACCATGGTGCTCAGAGGGACTCTGTTGACAGAGGGTGGAAAAGGAATTCAAGATAAACTCCAGGAAGTTGAAAGGAAAGAAATGCAGGGTCCTGACTCTCACACTGCCATCCTGTAAAACATGCACAATAAGAAGGTAAGGAAATGCTTTTGCCCTCTCTTACTCTGCAATCACATAAGGCATGGTTCTCAACCTTCCTAATGCTGCAACCCTTTAATACAGTTCCTGTGGGTCACAACTCACAGGTTGAGAACCACTGACATAAGCGTTCCTGATTCTATAAAATGGACCCTCCTGATTCCTTTGTCCAGACGCTAATCCTGACATAAAACAGACACAGCCAACCCTACAGTCCTCCAGTCAGCCATCGATAGGGTGACCAGATTTTAACATCTGTAAGGTGGGACAACATGGTGGGGGTGGGACGGAGGGGGGCAGAGAGGGGGATGGGGGGGTGGGGCAGAGGACGGGGCAGAGGACGGGGCAGGCAGGGCCTGACAACAATGCAAACTTTGATAAGCTGTTCTTGATAATCACTTCTCAGCAATTATTTATTACAGTTTAACATTATAAAATTAACAAAAATAATATAAAACTCATATTCTGGCGAAATAGCCATATGGCGGCTGAAAACCGTATATTCCCTTCTTGTTCTCCAGCCTGTTTGTGCATTCTTTCCAAAAATCAGGACTTTTTTAAAACGTCGCGGGACACGGGACAAATTGTTGAAAACCGGGACTGTCCCGCCAAAATCGGGACTTCTGGTCACCCTAGATGGTCACCATCGATGACCTCTCATTTTCCTCACTTCAGGTTCCCTTCCAAGGTTTTCCTTCTCACCTTTCACATGAACTTCACTCTTCATTCAACCTCCCGCTGTATCTGTTACCTTGCCTCAGTGGCCATAACCAGCCATCTGCCTTTACAGGCACTCACTGCAAATACAAGGTAAATTAAGGATACCAAAAACCACCAGTGTTTACTACGTACTTGCTGTGGGCTAGGCACTCTGCTAAAGATTTCCATATGTTATCCTCTACCCAATTTTCTCTCTTTTGAGGTGGGTCCTCTGGTTATCCTGCTCTCCACAGGAGGAAGTGGAGACTCAGAGAGGAAGAGCACCTGCTTGGAGCACTCTAGCTCCTGAGTGTTGGAGCTGGGGTCTGAACCCTGGGCGGTCTGATTGCAGAGTACACTCACTTAACCCTGATACATAGGGGGGCCCCTACAGTTCCTCAGCACTTCCCAGCACAGATGTCTGGAATTCCCCATAGAGTGGTGGCTTCTGATTATGTGTCTTCAAAACACTCATCCCATTGGATACTTACCCAGGTAGGTGAGTTGTCTCAACTGGGTTTTGAAGAACCAGTCACAGCCTTGGTTCTGACCAGGTGATGGAAGAAATGGAAGAGACAGACCCACGTGACTCCCGCATCTTATGAGGATGTTAGGGGAAGGTGGCAGGTCTGTGTGCACCAGCAGGAGGGAATTCCCAGGAGCAAAGTTGTCAAAGGTTGCTGAGTACTTGAAGTGAGAGAAAAGCACAAACATTTCATTTGGTAAGGAAGCTCGTAGCCCCAAACAACTATAAAGAATGAAGATGGGGTATTTTTAAAACATGGCAGAATTCAGACCCCGACTAGACTCTTCTTGTGGTAAATGGCTCAACTTAAATCCCCTCTGTAATAAATCCATAACAAGAGCTACTAAAACCTAGACTACGAAGACTGAAAGATGCTATAAGATTCTTCTTAATAACTTCAGTGGACAGAGGAAGAAATCAAGGCCCAGACAAGTGAATTAACTTGTGTCAGCTCAGACAGCTAGAAGAGACCGAGCCAGGTCTGGGATGCCTTTCCCATGTCTCCCGTAACTTAAAGAGGCAGGTAACCATAGGACTGTCGTCCGTTATAACAGTAACAGCTAGCACTGTTGGAGCATTTACTACACTATTTATTAGAGTCATTCAATACTTGACACATCCCTGTGATTGTTACTCTTATCCCCCTATTTTGCAGTTGAGGAAACTGGGGCAGACAGAGGCTCAGTAACTTGCCCCACACAGCAGGAGCACACTGAGCCAGGACATGAACCGAGGGTGTCCACCTTGAGAGTCACATCCTATTGCCTTCATGGTACAAATATTCTCCAGAATGCTGTCCTGGGAATCTCCAGGAGAGGAAACAGAGGTGTGGGGACAAGATCCAAAGTACTGTGCTCTGAATTTCTCCTAACTATCTGCTCTCATAACTGCTCAGGGAAATGTATATGATGAGACAAGGAGAAACAAATGTGTTAAATGGAAGGAAAGAATCTTGGGCAAATCCACTAGATTAATTTTTTAAAGCAGAAAATGCACCTACTTTCTGCATGGCTATTTCAATCTTCACTCCCCCTAACCATTTGACTACTTCAACCTAACCCAGCCTGGGAACTCGAGACCTTTACTTGCATGTTAATCATTGACCACAAGGTGGCAGTATGCAACATATAAATGCATCCTTAAGACATTTTCTCTGGCTACCGACCCCTCCGGGGTAAATTGGTTTTTAACCTGTGGTTTGGGTATTTTTTTTTTAATTGCGATTCTATAGGCTGTTTAGAAGTTATTTTTCATTGTATTAGTATATTTAAAATTTCAAGAACTATTCTGCACTCAAAATAACTTTAAATAGATATTAAATGTTCAAGTTAAAAAAAAAAAAGCCTCCAAGTCTCATATTAGGTTATATACATCTGGCCAACTACACTAAGACATGAAACCTATTTTTTTCACACAAGGAAAGATAAGAACCCCTGGGTGTGAGGGCATAGAGATGAATGGATTCCTGGGGTTACCTGCAGAGATCTGTTGATCCAAGGATTCTGAAACCTCAATGAGTAAGTCTCTTGGTCCAAAAGCAGAGCCATCCAACCATGAGGATTAGACAATGTATCATGGACATAATTGACAGTGGTTGTCTTATTTCTGCTGTCAGTAATGGTTAAATCATAAGGAGTGTCAGCAGCGTGAGCTCTAGGGTGATTTAAAAAAAAAAAAATGAGTTCCAAGGTTACTTGCCCATTACAGATTTAAAGTGTTCTTTTTCCCTCAATTTCAGTCATCTTTCTATTCTCTCCCTGTGTCTTAGGCTTTCTTCGCCTATGTGTCTATGGAGATTTCACCAGTCATTATATGGGCCAAAACAGCCCAGTGGGAAGTTGCCATTGGATTGCTCGAACATTACACTGGCCTGTGTACTGTAACACTCCAATCTTAGGTCACTAATAAATGTCATGCTAAGATGTTGTACAGTTCAGGATTATGTACTATTATTTTAACAAAGAAATATTTAGGGCAAGAATTTTGCCATAGACCAGATTCATCAATAGCCAAAAACTTGTTATTATTGGTAATTAGCTATTCCCATGGGGTACAATGATAAAGACCTTGGACTTGACATGCCCTGCTCCAACTTCTAGCAGAAGTGGTTGCAATAGTCTTCCCTGAAGAGATAACCTGGCCCCTCTCTTGTGGGCTTACATAGTTCCAAGCACTTCACTGCTATTACAGTTCCTCTGTGTTTTAAAAAACAAAGATTGTAAGATCCTTAAGTTAGAGGTGTTTTCTCCTTCCTCTTGGTAATCTCTACCGGCACAGGACCCGGCACAATGGAACTCAAGCCATATTTGTTCTATAAATGAAGAAGGTATGGATGAGATCTTCCTAAAGCAGCCAATGGCATTTTCCTAATTTATTTAAAGGATTTCTAGAAGAACCGAATTTTACCAGATGAGGAATCTAAAATAGATTATGGCAAAAGTAACAGATGAATATAACAAGCTAGAACTAGAAATGTGTGACTCAAGATCCCAAAATTATTCTATACAACCCATCTCAAAAAGTGATTTTTAACATTTCATTAGAACATAAATAGATCTTGGCAAATGCTAAGACCCTAAATGAGAATCAAAATGGACCTAAAAAAATTAAACAAAAGACAAAAAAATAAAAATCAACACACATTATGACTGTCCTTCTTCCTTTTGGTTTGGTTTTCACGAGAATCTCTAACTGTGGTATTTTGTTTCAGGCAGATACTTAAATTATCAAAGTAGAAAGAAATGACATGAAGGAGGATGTTGGGTTTTCACAACAAGGTGGACCCTGACTATATCTAATTCATAAGCCAGTGGCACATTATAAAAGGAAAATTTTTCGAGGTTTCATGTTTGGGCACTGGAGTCAAATGGGTATAAACTGGAAATCTAGATTAGTGCTCAAGTATCTGTTTGAATTTGAGCATATTACAGACTTCATTTAATCTTTAGATTTTTTTCTTTTTGAAATAGAGGCAACAACAGACACCTCATATAGCTACTATGAAACTTAGAGAGAGAATCTCCATAATACACTATTTTATGAGCCACTGTTAAGCTCAACATCTACTCATATCTTACTTAGGAAAGAACCTCTGATGTGCCAGATCTACCATTTTGCACTATTATATTAGGTCTAGAGATCTATCCAGGATATTTGCCAATTTAAGAACATTCCCAAAACCTTTTACGGTACAGATCATTGACCCTAGCAACGTAGCACTTGGGGGTACAGAGAGCATGCCAAAAAAATGTATACACATTTTAAGACAGGAAAAAAATACAGTATGTAATGGTAATATTCAAGTCACATTTGATTTTAGCAATTACAAGAGGTGCTCAAACATGACTTGGATTTATCTTTCTGTCATCAGTATATATTGAGTATTAGAATTTTAATATAGTTTTTTTTTAATATGGGTATGCCTTTTTGGCACACTCTCTGTGTTTCTTGGAAGATTAAATGTGTTTGTTTCATCCATTGATAAATTAATAAAATAAAAGGGATGAAAATCCTCAGAGTGTTTGGGTGTAAATAACTACTCTTTCCACTGGTTTCCTTATACAATTAATTGAACCTTTAAGACATCTTGAGGAAGGGGAAAATTTCCCTATCCCTTTTGAGATAGTTAAGAGGACTGCTGTTACTGTTGCTGTTCTTGTTGTTGTTACTTCTTCCATCAGGATTAAAAATGGAATTAATGGGAAACCCTCAACTCAAATTCTTAGAATCAAACTAAACCTATGGAAACGTAGGTCATCTGTTCTGACTGCCAGAGCATTGCAGGAATGCCCATCCTGTCTTTCTTTCATTTACAGGGTGTTTACATCCTCAAATAGAAGACCCTTCCATTTATGGAATTTATTGTTAAATTGTACTTTTTAGAAAAGCTTTAGAATGTTAAATTTCCTCCCTCATGCTGTCTAGCCACTTGCCCCCAATCATCATGCCTCTCTCCTCCCCTAACTAAAATCATTTGTCCCCTAGTCCCCAGAGATTGTCTAGCACATTTGGCCCAACTATGTTTAATGAACAAAAATAAGCTTATAAGAAATAAATGTAAAACTCAAGGGATAAGAAGGGATAAGTTGGAAATAAGACGTACTAAAGAGATAGATAAGCCGGCTGCAGTAGGTACCCTCATTTACACATCAAATGGAACACCCCACAACACAGAGAATGATTCTAAGTGTTCCAACTTCTGAAAGAGCATCATTTCAGCTTTCACAGAAATCTAGGGGCTTTGAAAAACAAATCCCAAAACCTAAATCCAGGATGTCCTAAGTGATAAGTCATAAGTTTCAGTTAATGATTTATATAGTAAGACATAAAACTGCCTTCAACACACTGCAAGCACAGTAAATATTTGTTGAATAAATAAACAAACGTACCAGGACACTCCAACTGTCTACTTAGTGATATTTCTCCCCATCATGGAAGTCTACCCAGAAAACCATATGAGATTCATAAGATTTCTTATAAAGTTATTAACCAAAGGAGATAAGCAGTTGATCATAAATTACCAGACCCTGATACGGATAACTCGATATCATTAGAATATTTACCAAGAGAACTTAAAACACTTATAACTAGTGGTCAGAAAAGCTCCCCTCAGCACAGAAACAATGGTCTCTGATCTAGGAACTTGCTAAGATTTCCTTACCAGCTCCTATTTCCTCTTACCTAGCCAGGTAGTCTCAATTAAAATACTTTTTCAAATAGTTTTATTTTAACTATTGACGGAGAGGAGAACCCTATCTGTTCAAATGCATGCATCCATGCCCATGTAATTCCTCCTGCCTTACCAGCCAGTCACTGTCATTATTTTCTCAGCTGTCATGCATACCACACCTTGACAATTATGCAAGTGTTGTTTTAATATGGGACAATACAATCCATCGGATAGACAGTTCCCCAGACATTTCCTAATTCCAGCAATGGGGCACCAAGAACCCACCCTGCTCACTTTAACTGGACTTAACTATTTCTCAAAGTTCCATTGGCATCCCATCTAAAAATCAATTTTTAGGATGCTATTTCTCCTGACTTAATTTCTACAAGCATTTTTGTTTTTATTATTTATTTATTTTTACATATACATGTGATTGTTAGGTTTCTACTTTTCACCTTCACAGAATTAAAAAAGCTTAAAATTACCAACAATAACAATGTTAAAGATAAGGACTAGAAACTTAATTTCTATAGGATGTAATTTCAATTTTTGAAGGAAGCATTTTTCAGACCATCTCCCCAGTTTTTCTGAAAGCCCTGGTAAATATAACCCCCTCTACAAGTAATGCCACTACCTGCTGGTGTTAATTAGGCTCTATTTGCCTTGGTGGCCTTTGGTGTTCTTGATGGCCTTTGCACCTTCCTTCTGATGTTCTCCTATCAATCGGCCTCCAATAATCTGATGCTAATCCCTCAGTCAGCCAGAGCACACTGTGATCCTAAATTACCCTTCCCTCATTCCCCTGATGCATTGATGGTGTCAAGACCTCTTCATCTATCTCAACCAAGGTCAGTTTGGAATGCAGTTTCATAGGCAGTCTTGTGCAGCACCAGACTCCTGTAGTGCAAGGCAGGGGGAGAAGAAGGTTGCAAAACATGCCTTTATCACCACTGGTAGTAGAAGGGATCATATGGTGCACTCTGAAAAGCAAATCAAATTGGAAAAGCCCCTTCAACCAGTAGACAAGATGCCTTGCATCGACATTGACCATCACTGGGGAGGTGGGGGTGGTACAGCAATTCTAAGTCAGTTCATTCCTATCCTACTAGGCCAAATGCCAGAACTGACAGTTGTGGGCTCTTCTGAAAAGCACCAAAAGAACACCAAGAGTCAAAGAACACCATGAAGAGAATTTACCAACCATAATTACTACAATTTTCGCTTGCCCTAAATAGCCACCAATTTCCCTGTGCCCTAAATAGCCACCAATCTCCCTCTCCTTACTGTTAATGAAGCAAAGGAGCACAAAAGTATTTCTAATTTGGAGGAGCCAAGGGAGTCTGCATGGGCCATTAGCAGCAGAGAGCTTCATTACTAGGGTAAGAAGTCTCTCCCTGAACTTCTCGTGGCTTTATGTGCAAGAAATCAGGAGGCAACCAGCCCATTTTAAATGTTAACCCTTACCTCTGTGTCAGCAACAGCTTCCTGTCTACAAAGACATAGAAAGACAGTAAGCCTTACCTGTCATTTTTCTTTTTCTATGGAATGCCTTCATTTTGGTTTTAATAACCAAACCTGTTTTTAATTCAGGGAGACATCCCTTTAGAAATATAACACTGTCACTTGGTAAAATTTCCCGGCCAGAGTATTGACTCACCATACCAGTTGCTTAAATAGTTACATAATTTAGTGCCCATGGACTGTGCAGAACTATTTGAATGTATACTGCCCACAGAAGATTTGTTAGGCAATCAGCAATACCAGTGAGAACAAATATTATCTCCCTGGTTTTTGTTTACCATTAGCTTACTTTTCCTGAGGGTCCATATTTCCGTGTATTAAGACAAATACTGCGTTGAGCTCTAAATGTTCTCAATTCAGAACAATTGTGAAATAAAGCCTTTACAATTATGCGTTTCCTAAGCCAGACACATCCTAATAGCTAGCTTCCAATGTTGCTGCAAGCATCTTCTGGATATTTGTG